AGTACAATATATAAATTTTATCGTATTTACATACACTTCATAAGAATTATTACATTACTATATTATGTTACATTTTAAATTTTAAAAATTACTCTTTGGACTTTTTTGCTAAGTTAGTAGGGTCTGCTCTGACTTTTGGACTTGGTTGCAAGCAGAGGGTATTGTTTTATTAAAAAGGGATTACTTTTAGCTAGTCACACTATATTTTTTTAGTTGTTCAGTAAGTAAGGTATCTCAAAGCTTGCTTTCATTTTAATTTTGCTTATGGTTTCTATATTCTCAAAGTCTTTTGCTAGACAACCATATTTATAAGGCTTTCTTTCATCTTCCCCAACAAAGACCATTCCCAGTCACCAGCCCAGCTTGGGCATCCCCTCCCCTCACACAGTCCCATGGTCCCACCAGGCTGCTCCTACCTCTTGTAAACTCCTGGAGGCACCATGGTGGCCAGGAATTGCCTGGCAGCTGCCACAAATTCAGGGGAGAGGCTGGGGTCCAGGTGCTGCTGGTAACCTGTGGGGGAGTGTGGCATCTGTTTATGAAAAATCCTTTCCTTAGGATTTTTCCTCCTGAGAAGCTGGGAGGCCTCAGGAACAAAATGTAAACATTGATTATCTGCTGCTGTGGAATGCAGCAGGTGCATCTGTGTTTGGTCTCATGTGGTTGTTTCTAATTAATGGCCAATCACAGCCAGCTGGCTTGGACACAGAGCAGAGTCACAAACCTTTGTTATCATTCCTTCCTTTCTATTATTAGCTTAGCCAGCCTTCTGATGAAACCTTCTCTTCTATTCTTTTAGTACACTTTTAATGTAATATATAAAAATAATATAAATATATATATATTATATATATATATATTATATTTATAAAATATATAAAATAATAAATCAAGCCTTTTGAAACATAAAATCAGATCCTAGTCTCTTTCCTCAACATAAGACCCCTGTGAACACTGTCAGGCTGGAGGGAAAAGGGGCCAAGTCCCCTGTCCTTCCCCACCCACCAGCTCCCCTGTCCCCTCCCCTGCTCCCAGCCCTGCTCTGCCCACCCTCACCTTGGTACTCGGGGACCTGTGTGCCCAGCAGGGTCGGCAGCCACTCGTACAGAACGATGCTCTAGGAACAGGGAAATGGGTCAGGGCCAGAACCAGGCAAGATCCTGGGGGTCCCAGCAGAGCTGGGGGGTGCCAGCCCTCACCTGGAAGGTGGCAATGACCCTCTTGCGGGCGTGCTGGAAGAGATCCTCATCGGACCAGGCAGGATGCTGCTGGGCCAGGGCTGCGGCCACGTGGTTGTGGTAGCGGAACCAGGCGATGCTCTCGGCCTGCAGGAAGGGGCTCTCATTCCCCCAGGCACTGCCCAGGTCTGCAAGAGCCACCACGACCATCACTGGGGGTGTCACCACTGGTTCTAGCTTTGCCCATGGCTGGAGGAGCACCCCCAGCCCTGTGGGTCCAGCCCAGTGTCCCCCTGTCCCTGGAGGAGCACCCCCAGCCCAGTGTCCCTTGTCCCCTCACCCTTCCATCTCCCCAGCCAGAGCAGCAACCTGGGCAGGTGAGCAGCAGCACCAGGCCCCCAGCATGACCAAACGTTGGGCAGGTGAGGAGCTCCAAGCAAGCTGGGTGGGTTTGTGTCAGCAGCAGCCCTTTCCCCAGAGTTCAGCTGGGATCAGAGCTGCTCTCTGACATTGCCACCAGGGCGTGTGGCCTCTGGAGCTCCTGGTGTGTCCTGCTGGGGCTCAAATCTCCCACCCCTTGGGAACCTGCCACAGCCCTCCTGATCCACAAATCCTTCATCTTCTGCCCTTTCCCCTTTCCTGGGGTCAGCTCCAGGGACCCCTGCTCCCTGCAGGGATGAGGAACCATTGGGATGCCCCCCTTACCGTAGATCCCTTGGGGACCGCCCTGTCCCGTGGATGGATCCAGAGCCTTCCACATGGGCACCCTCCCGTCTGTCTGCCTGGGGAGGCTCCCGTTGGGCCCTGCTGCCAGCTGTCCCCCCTGGAAGCTCCTCAGGGCATCGCTCCAGGAGTGAGAGGGGCCGTAGATGGAGCTGCCATCCAGCCAGCCCGTCACCCCGTTGGTCTAGGGCAGGCACAGGGAAGAGGCATTAACAGGGCACAGGGTTTCACTGGAAAGGTGTAAAAAAGAGGTCTGGAAAGCCCCAGTCTGCCTCTTTTGCTCTTGCAAAGCAGTCTGGTTTAACCTCATTTTAACCAGAGCTCTCAGGAAGCAAATACAATCTCTATGCAAACCCCAGGAGTTAGTGCCAGGTAGAAGAAATAACCAGGTACAAGCTTTTCAAAATTACATTTGGGATTGTTTTTTCCCCAGTTATTTTGGCTATGCCCAGAAGCAGACATCTGTGAATCCCTACATAGGCTAGAAGGGGACTAAACCCATCTCTGGGGAAACTGGGAACACCAGAGCTTTCCCCTCTGATCTCACAGTAGGAAAACCCACTATTGTGGAAGTATGTTGAACATTTCCCCTGCCAAATGTTTGCATGGAAACATACTTTTTATTCTGAAAACATGCTGGAGTTTCCAATTTTTTAAGCTTTTAAATGTTGATAAGAACATGACTTGCTAAATCGGTCTCTTCAGGGTTTGTCCCCTGAAAGGTTTAGGGGGGTGTTTCACTTTGGTGATTTTGGCTGGGGACATCTCCAGCATGAAAGAAATCTGGAGAACACAAGCAGAACAGCAAAATCCAGGGAAACTGGGGGAAAACCTGGATTTATTTTCCAAAATGACTGAAATTCAGGGAAGCACCACATCTTTGTGGCAGGGCCAGCTCACCTTTGTGATACATTATTAAAGACAGAACTTGGTGCCTAAAACAACGTGCAATAATTGACTGACCTAATTACCTTTTCTTCATTCAGGAAATGCTTTGACTCTGGGCAATCACTAGCATTGCTCAATGTGAAACTGGAAGTTGACTTTGGGGTTAATTTAGTTGGTTTAAGTGCTTGAGAGATGTTCATTTTTAGCGATGAGGTAGTGCTATCAGTTATTTTTGTAAATTATATTGGGTGTTACTGGCCCCAATGGTGGGTGAAGAAGAATTTGGATGAAAAGCAAAGACAGAGGAGAGCAGACCCACCTGCTCCCGGGGGCTGTTGGGGCTCTGTCCCGTCTCTGCTGCCCAGCGGACGCGCTGGAAGGGCAGGACCACGTCTCCAGTGCCAGCAGGGTCAAACACGGGGTCTCCAGAGGGGATGTGGATGTTGAGGAACTCAGCAGGGCAGCCGGGCTTCTCTGTGTCCAGGATGTCCAGGAGCACGTGGAAACCTGGCAGACACCAAAGCCTGGTCAGCAGCTGGAGCAGGACAGCTGTGGGCAGGCTGGGGGCACCACCATGAGCAGCCAGGGTGACCCAGGCCAGGCTGGACAGGGCTGGAAGGAACCTGGCCCTCTTGAACAAAATGACCATTGAGATCCCTTCCAACCCACACATTCTGGGGTTCCATGATTTCCCAGAGACAAACACCTCCAGGCCTGGAGAGCTAAGACCCCACTGAGCTCCTGGGAGACTGAAAAAGCTGCTCCAGCTTGCAGCAATTTAGCCCAGCATGGCTCTTATCACACCTGTCTGGTGTTTTCGCCGTGGGGCAACTTCACTGCTAAAAGAAATGAGGAAGTTCCCAAATGACAAATATCAGCACTTGGGTCACCTGGCAAAGGTCACCAAAAACCCACATGATCTCTCCTAGCCAGACAGTGCTGTGGTGAAGTCATATCCTCTTGGGGGTCTCTGTGGTCAGGATAACTCCCAGATGTGTCAGAGAGTCTCCTTTCCCAGCCTGGCAACTAAAAAAGGAGCTGGGATTCTTCTGTCCTGGTTTTCAAGTTTGTTTATTCTCTGTTATCTACAACATTCTTTCTCTGGCCTGCTGAGGTCTGTCTGGCAGGTTGGGTTGAGGCACACTGACCGCCTTCAGTTATCTTTTATACTAAAAACTTTGTGTACTTTATTTAGAGTAATTTCCCAATACCTATAACCCGTGTTAGACAGTGAGCTTCTACACTAAACCAATCCAAAAGTGCCAACATCACCCAGAAGATGGAGGCTAGGAAGAAGGAGAAAAAAGGCCAAGGCACACCCAAATTCCTCCATCTTGGGACCCCAAGCCCTCATTCTAAAAACCGCAAAATTCTACTTTTCCACCCTGTGACAAACTAGCTATCATTTTACTTAACCTTTTGTGGCTTGTAAATCCTCATATTAGTTTGGTAATTTTTTTCTATGGGTCAAAATCAAAGGCACAGGTGCCTTGAGGTCTGTGCCAAGGTCTCTGAGCCCCCTGGCAGGGGCTTGAGCCATCCAGGACAGCCAGAGGGATGTCCTGGGTTCTGACAATATCCAAGGAGTATGATATCCACAAGTATCTGTGGATCTGATATCCACAAGTGTCTGCTGGGTCTGATATCCACATGTGGGTCTGCTGCAGAGCGCTGGGTGAGGAGTGCTCCTATGCATGGCTTTGGGTGTGTGACAAACCAACTTTTTTTCACCCAAACCACCATTTTTGCAGTGGATGTGGGGTCTCGTAGGATTGATGGGGGGGTTGCACAGTTGGGACGAATGGAGACGAGAGATCTCTGCAGCCAGGTCATGGAACTTGGGGTTTATTGCAAAGGGCCTGGGTGCAGGGCCCTGCTGGGAGCTGCCAGCCACAGCTCAGAGCAGGCCCCAAAGAGGGAAAGAGAGATA